CGCGGCTCCCGGGGCTCCCTTGGGAAGCGCCGGGCGCTCTCGGTGCGGAACCGGCACCCGCGGCGGCTTCGGACGGGCTCCATAAAAACGCAGGGGATTCCCCCTTTGTGCTGGGCCGCCCCTAAGGAGCCCCCGGGAAAGCGCAGCCCCCTCTCCAGAGCCCCTAGGCAACCTCTGTGTTTGCTTCTCCTTGCTGCTTCCCACAAACCCTACATTAAAATCCATTTTATTAGCACTGAAACCAAAGGTCTGCCCCTTCCTCCCTCTCTTTCTAAGCAACAGCCTCATTTCAGGTGCTTTCTGTTTAAATAGACCCGCGTTAACAGCTGGGCCTTTCCTTGCCCATTGCTCCTTAAGCAGATTTTTCCCCTGTTTCCAGTTAAAGGACACTTGGTTTCTAAATCAGATTAGGCGCCAAGCGCGTAATTAAATGTTGCACTTGGAGCCTGGCGTTAAATGTGAGAACCACCAATGACTAGAGAGGTTTTTGTCTTGAAAACCTGTAATTTGGTGTTGGGCTCAAAGCGATTGGGCTGTTTGATTTGTTGCTGCTGCCGAGCCCAGGACGAGGCTGGTTTCAGTGGCAAACGCAGAGCCGACACGTGTGGAATTTTAAGCATTAGCAAATCTGGTCGCTGAATGAGACTTTTCAAATTCACATTAAGCATTGACACAAATTCTGGGATCTGGACCATGGGGCCCAGCACCAATCCCGCATCCAGAGCAGCCCAGCGAGGCGGGATGAGATCCTGTCCTGCAGATTGGGGCTCGTATGGAGCAGCCCTGAGCCCTGCCCTGCGTGTCCGTGTTTGAGGGGGGGTCCATATCTCATTATTTAGCCCACCTCGTTCAGGACAAGCTTGTGCTGGTGGTTTTCAGGGAAGAGAAACGACTCTTTGTCCATTACTAGTTGACTTAAAATAAACAAGCAAAACTAATCTCCAAGAGCTTTCGCCGGTTGTAAGCTTCCCCTTTTTCGCTTTTTAAAACTAATCTGTATTTTCTTTTTCCCTTGTCCCTCTGCCTTTCAGGGTGACTGAAATCGGCCGCAGCGAAGATGTCGCTGTCCAAGAGGGAGCTGGACGAGCTGAAGCCATGGATCGAGAAGACGGTGAAGCGGGTCCTGGGCTTCTCGGAGCCCACGGTGGTCACGGCCGCGCTCAACTGCGTGGGCAAGGGCATGGACAAGAAGAAAGCGGCCGGTACGTCCCAGGCTGCAGCCTCTCGTGCGAGCGCTCGGAGCCCGTGACACAAGGAGCAGTAAAACAGGCAGCTTCTGGGCTGGTGTTTCACATTTCCCCCTCGCTTGGGTTATGCAGCACGTGGAATCTGTGTCCGATGGTATTTTACAGTTAAACGGCACGAAATGGCACTAGTCTTGTACACGGAGCGAGCAATATAGGTGCTTTTCCTGGCACATGGAGCACGTAAATGAACTGCAAGTTCTGCTCATGTAGGAGTGTGTTAGAGCTGCCCTTTAGCAGACGTTGTGCTGTGTTCAGAAGAGCTTTTAATGGGATGTAAGCTCCACTAACACCCCCGGGAGAGTGACCTGTGCTCAGCTCTGTGGCAGGCTGTGGTTTCAGGGGGTACCCCCCTCGTGCTCGTTCGTGTTGAGCTAGTTTTGTGCACAAACCCTTGGTGCTGTCGTACGCGTGCGATTCCTGACTCACCTGAACACAGCAAAGGGGAGTGGGAGCAAATCCACCCAAATGGACTCCTATGGAGTGAATTTAAACATCCTGACGGAAGGATTTCCATTCGTTCATCCTTTTCCCGACCCCTGAGAAACTGGAATCTGCAGATCCCAGAGGCCTGTAGAGCCCAGGCCGTGGGTCCCCCTGCGTTAGATTGAAGCCACCTGTGCCCGAGTGTTTTGTGGCTTCACAGAGTTTTCTGTTTTCCTGCTTATTCCAGAGCGAATTTTGCCATTTACACACGCTCCTCTTCTTCTCTAGACCATCTCAAGCCCTTTCTGGACGATTCCACGCTGCGGTTTGTGGACAAGCTCTTCGAGGCGGTGGAAGAAGGCCGAAGCTCCAGGCACTCCAAGTCTAACAGTGACCGGAATCGAAAGCGGGAGCTGAAGGTGAGCCAAGGACTCGTTACTGATCCGTGTTGCATGGTGTCTGCAGGCCCTGGAGGCAGCCCTGGCACTGCCACGTTTTCCTCTTCCAGAGAGGTACATCTTGTAATGCTTAAAAGTTCAAGAGAAAAGACCCTTATCCATGATGAAGTGTGTGAGCCTTTACCTTTCAGTTCTTGCCTTCTAAAGAGGGAGTGAATTGCTCTCCTCGGTGGCGTCCAAGTCTGGCAGCCGGGCCTTTTGGTTTCTTTAACAATCTCTTAGGCTTGTGTAAAAGAGTAATTTTAAATAACAGGGCTCAGTCTCTTGGTTTTCTTTCTTCTTTATCTGCTGCTGTTGGGGTGTCCCAGCTGGCAGTAACTTGCTCTTCCTTGCTTGGATGTGCCGCGTTTCGGTCTTTTCTCGTCCTTATCCAATGGGTCTCTCTGTGGTGGGTTCTCTGGTGGGTTTTCATTCTCTCTCCATTGCTGAATCTTGCCTGGAATCCACAGAGGGCAATTTTTGGCAACCTCTTTCCCCCTCACGTTGCCACGAGGTCAAGCACAGCAAGGCTGTGACGGTTCCCTCGTGTTTCTCCCATCTAACGCTTGCCTGGGATGGTGGAAGTCTTGTGCATCCAAACCTGTTTTCACCCGCTTTGTTCTCTTGAAGACTTTACTCGCCACCTTCTGGAATTGCATTTTTTTTCATCATTCGCATTCCGAGTTTAAAAGTGGCTACTCTACATGCTGCTCCCTGCTCACAAAGTAAGTTCCCTTTTGCTTTTTCTGAGGCTCTGAATTTATGTTAATCTGTGTTTCTCTATAATGTTTGCTTAGTCAGTAGTTAACCTCAGGTGTCCAGAATAATCCCTTTCAGAACTGGGATCCGTGTCTTTCCGGGTGTATTGAGACAGCTGCCTTCACTCCTTCTTTTCCATTTGAAACTTTTTGGTTTTGTGTTGTTTGGCTGAGATTTATCCCATGCCAGAGAGGGGTCTCTTCCAGAAACGTTATTGGGCTACGTTACTGCAATCAGGCAGTTCCTGTCGTGCAGATTTGGTGCAGCCTGAGGAGCAGCAGGGCAACTTTCTCTTGTTTGACACTAAATTAAGGCCTCAACCTGATCTGGACTGACCTGGGTTAGGTGATTTGGTCCATATGGAGCAGTGGGTGCTGGTTTAAAGGTCTTCAGTCTTCTGCAGCTTTCTCGGTCACGGCAGAGGTGCCAGTAAAGCATCTTTCAAGTATTCCTGTACTTGAACCCATTTTAATTTGGGTCTTAGACCAGTACATCTGCTGACCCTGCCATGGGACTGTTGGAAAATGAGACTTTGGGCAATGCTGTTTTATCCTGTGGAATTCCTCACGGCTCTTTGGAAATGATGAGAGGGCAGGAACGTTGTGGATCGTCCATGGTAGCAGAGCAGAAAGAACTGCAACTTGGTGCAGTGCCTGTTCCAGTCCTGCAGCGGCGGCTCTTTGACACCTTAGGGAAATGATGAGAGGGCAGGAACGTCGTGGATTGTCCATGGTAGCAGAGCAGAACTGCAGCTTTGTGCAGTGCCTGTTCCAGTCCTGCAGCGCTATGTGTGGGCCCTTGATCAACCCTTCAACCAAGGGCTTCAACCCTTGATCATCTTCACCAATGGGAATTATTTTGCCCGTTTTCCAACCGTCTTGTCCTCTGGCCTTCCTTGGAGGAGCATAATTCCAGCAGAGGGAGGGAAGGGCGCAGCGTCCTGCTGGAGAGGGACACGGGCATTAACGCTGGCACGTTGGAATCATCCCAGGCACAGGGACAGGCACTTCCTCCCCCTTGCAAAGCCCTTTGGTGTCCTGCATGACCGTGGATGGTCGGTGCTGTCACTTTCCAAGCTATTCCAGAGCAGCAGAGCTATCCACATCTCTTGGACACCGGCACGAGTTGAGCAGACCCATCTGCCAAACCCCCGGCCTCTCTGAATTCTCCTTTCTTTGGGATCCTTCATCAACAGCTAGGGAAAACGCCACATCGTGGCTGTAGCAGAATGATATTGATTTTCCCCCACTGCAGGTTTTAGAGTTGAGTTTATGCTTGGTCTGTAGCAATGAGCAGTGGATTAATTCAAAATATGACTTACCTGGTCGTGTGAGCTTCTTCAGCGCTCTGCCTGGCCTTCCTTCTGCCTCTTTGGTTAACTTTCGTGGGGTAGGTCATTGCTTGGGAAGTTTCAGGAACTAAAACGTAATGGTCTACACACTTTATACTATGGGCAAGTCCTTTCTCTTGAACTTGTAGGTTTTCCAAGAAGTACCTGTGTCTGGATGAGGATGTGTCCTTGTAGAATATGAACCATTATAGTGAAGAAGGGATTTCAACTAACGCTTACAACCGGTGTGTATATTTTCTTTTCAAATAATACCTTCACACACACTACAGTAACACAGCCACATGGACAAATCCAGTTTACACAAACAGTCCTTCACTGATTGAATGTCACAGTCACACAAGCAGCTTCCCCCAGCATAAAATTCTGTGCAAAGTGCGTTTGCCCTTTGGTTTTGTGATCTCCGTGCTGTTCCTGTTCTCCAAGCTGCCCTTTGGGAGAGCACAGCTGGGCAGTGCAGCTCCCCTCACCGCATCCGCTGCGCTGAACAGTTGGAAGGGCCACTCAGGTCAGTTTGTGTGCAGGTTTCTCTGCCTCTCTGCATAGATTTTTGAGACCTTAGATCTCCTTGGTGCCTCAGAAATGCCTTTGAGCGCCCGGTGGAACGATGGGAGCCTCTACACAAGCGTGTTCTTGTGATGCCTCCATCCCTTTGGTTACTGGATGGGCCCTTGTTGATGCTTCCATGGCCAGGAGCCAAGGCAGGGCTCCCTGGTGCAGGATTAGCAGCAGGCAGTGCATGGACCTCCAAGTCCTTGCAGCTACAAGGCAGCGATGACGTTGTGTTGCCTCGATGTGACTTGCACGGTGGCTTGTTTTGAAGGAGTGACAACGAGGAGAATTCTTTGCCTTTAACCCCCTTTTCCCCCCTTCTCTCCTTTTACCTCAGGATGTGTTTGGTGATGACTCGGAGGTCTCCAAGGAATCTTCTGGTGTGAAGAAGCGGCGCATTCCGCGGTTCGAGGAGGTTGAGGATGAGCCGGAGGTTATTCCAGGGCCGCCTTCGGAGAGCCCCGGGATGCTCACCAAGCTGCAGGTTAGCCTTGCTAGGCTGGCTCAGAGATTTTGAACCCTGACGTGGGTTAACATTTCCTCCTCATCCTAACTCGTGTTGCTGGCTGCACGTTTGCAGCTGTAAATAGCAGAGGAGGAGGTGGAGGCTCCGTTGTTGAGGGCCCCTTGGCCCTTGGTAGAGCCAAGAAATGAATGTCCAATTCTCTTTCCGCAGATCAAACAGATGATGGAGGCTGCCACGCGCCAGATTGAGGAGAGGAAAAAGCAGCTGAGCTTCATCAGTCCTCCAACACCACAGGTACCCACTGGAAGCAAGAGGGAAATCCCATGCTCCGTTTCAGCTAGACGTGCTGGAACGGGTGGGTACCAATGCTCGTTTCTCTCCCAACAGCCAAAAATCTCCTCTTCATCCCAATCCGATCGTCTCCCCATCGGCAACACTATCCAGCCCTCCCAGGCAGCAACGTTCATGAATGATGCCATTGAGAAGGCCAGGAAAGCTGCAGAGCTGCAAGCCCGAATTCAGGCTCAGCTGGCCTTGAAACCAGGGCTTATAGGCAATGCCAACATGGTGGGGCTGGCCAACCTGCACGCCATGGGGATTGCACCTCCGTGAGTACCTGCAGTTGCTGAATTACCCCGTCATTCTGATGATAAAAGGCCAGAATGCTGACAGAGGGTTTCTCCAACGTGGTTTTGGCTCCTCAGCAGAGGCCTTAAAGGCTGCTGTAGGAATGAGAGTGTTAAAGGGATGAGATGAAGGTTGCTCCTTCCCTGGGTGAGACTCTCGCAGCTTCTGCGTGTTAAGATTTGAGTTCTTTCTGGCTGTAGAGATGAGATTTATGTTGCAAAGAGGCCTTTGGTGTAGCTGGTGCTTTGTGCCAGCAGCCTGGCAAACTCGTGCCCGTGCCCTGAAGTGCCACCCCCAAGAAACTGTGCGGGCTGGTGCTTGGGATGACTGAACTTTATGAACTGTTTTACTGCCTTGACTGTGGCTGATGTGTAACTGCCCTGAAGTGGCTTGATATCTCCTTTCTCTTGATTAGAAGGGCATTACCTGGACAGATGAGAGCTTTCACAAATCATAGGTTAGTCCAGTGGCTACCATGGAAATGCACCTCTTATTCCCTTTGCCTTAATGCTGTAACCACATTTTAATGCCCTCTATGTGTCTTGCCACCAGGAAGGTGGAACTGAAGGATCAGACAAAGCCCACGCCACTGATCTTGGATGAACAAGGCCGAACTGTTGATGCGACTGGTAAAGAGATTGAATTGACTCACCGCATGCCAACCCTAAAAGCAAACATCCGAGCTGTGAAGAGAGAGCAGTTCAAACAGCAGCTAAAAGAAAAGCCCTCCGAAGATATGGAGTCGAACACTTACTTTGACCCTCGGGTCTCCATAACCCCAGCCCAGCGTCAGAAACGCACCTTTAAGTTCCATGAGAAAGGCAAATTTGAGAAAATTGCACAGAGGTTGCGAACGAAGGTATTTGAGGTCTTGCCATGCTAACTGAGAGCACAGAAATGAGGGGTCAGTTCAGGACAGGAGATGACTTTCCTCTCCTGGTGTGTGAAGGGAGCTCACTTGGAGTAAGAAGCTTCTCAGTGAAGTCACCTGAAACTTTTCTGTCAGCATGAGGCCTTTTGGAAAGGCAGGCATCAAAATAGCTTGTTTGTAGGAAGTGTTTTCTTACAGCTGTCTTATCTGGATGGAAGATAAAACTCTTTTTGACAAAAAAAAAGAAAATTTCCAAAAGGAATTGACCAATTTCCCAATTTCCTGGCCACCTCTTCTTTCCGTAAAAGCGATCACTCTAAAGATAGAAATCTAAATGAATCTTAGTAAAATGCCCAAATCCTTGGGGAGAAAGGGAAAGAAAAAAGTCTGTGGATGTGGTGTCCAGAGAGGTGTTATCGGGATTGCTCGGGGAGCCGGGAAGGCTCAGCAGGAGAGCACATTGTGGCAAGTGTGTGAGCTTCTGCAAAAGCTCTCCATCATCTCAATAGTTTCTTTTGTGGTTTGCTTCAGCTTGGAATAAAAAAAAATAGCAGGTGCATGTTGGGCTTCTTCTGGAGGTTGTGCTATTTTGGAATGACCTTTATGTGTCACTTTTCTTGTCCGCAGGCTCAACTAGAAAAACTGCAGGCAGAGATCTCTCAGGCTGCCAGAAAGACCGGGATACACACCTCTACCAAGTTGGCCCTTATTACCCCCAAAAAGGAGCTGAAAGAAGGGGAGATCCCAGAAATAGAGTGGTGGGACTCTTACATCATCCCGAATGGCCTCGAGCTGTAAGTATTTGATATTTTACCTGCAAGGTTTTTGATTGTTGTGCTCTAGGAGGAAACTTGGTGGATTTCTTGGGAATAATGTGGTTTCCCGAAGGAAACTGCAGATGCTCTCAGCACTTTTGCTAACCAAAGCGTTAGTATCCGTTTGAGCAGTTGGATTTAGAGGGGCACTAGGTTTGCTTCCAGAGCCTTTCTGTGGTGCCAACAGTTGCCATTCTGGGTCAGGATCTTGTGTGTGCCAAAAACCCTTCAGAGTTGGCCCAGGGGAGCGTTACTTGTTCATGGCTTGTGTTGAGCAGAAGGCAGGAATCCAGCTGCTGCGGTCTGCAGTGATGCCCAACTCTCTCCTTTCTAGAACAAGTGGAACATCCAAGAGAGATTACTTCGGGATCACGAACCTTGTGGAGCACCCAGCACAACTAAACCCCCCAGGTATGTTCCGTGGCCATCCAGCATCGGACCCGTGCTGGTTTGGGTTGATTAAATGGTCTGGTTGGTAATTGCAGAGGCAAGGCAGCGTGGGAGCTGCTGGTAATGCTGCTGACTGCTGTCCCTTCCTGCTGTGGGGAAGGAAACGGTGCCAAGATAAATCCTAAAGCTTTGCTAAGATAGCAAAGAAAGAGCTGAGATCCGGAAGGAGGATGTCACTCTACCTAGTGGATGCTTCACTTAAAAACTACAGCGCTTAACTGCAGTCTGTGTTGTTATCAGCAGCCTCCCACGTGCTAAGTTGGGGGAGTGGTGTAGATAAGAGATCTGTTTGTCTGTAGCAGGCCCATTTTTGATGTTCTCGCTCCAGGAAGAGCTATAAAACAACCACAAAGTGTTTTATGTTTGCATATAAGTCTATAAATAGTAAAACCCCATTTTCATGAGTTTGATATAAAGAAGCTGCAGTGTTGCAAAGAGGAGATCGTCAATAAAGTGTGAATATAATGGAGTGTGGCTAAGAATCTGTTCCCCAGTAACGGCAGCGAGACCGTTGGCATTTCTGTCTCGCTTCCAAAAGCAGCTTTGTGTTTATGGTGCCCCCGTTTCTCTCGCAGTGGACAGCGACACCCCGGTGACCCTTGGTGTTTATTTAACTAAAAAAGAGCAGAAGAAGTTACGGCGACAGACTCGGAGGGAAGCTCAGAAGGAGCTGCAGGAGAAAGTCAGGCTGGGCTTGATGCCACCACCAGAGCCCAAAGGTAAACGGCTGCGGCGGCCAACAGGCTGGCACGGGATGTTCCTGCTGGAACAAGCAGCACAGCCCAATAAGACACATTTTTCCTTCCTTATGGCGAGTTGGTATCTGGCAGGAGCCTCTGACGCTTCCTCTCTCATCTCCCCTGCAGTAAGAATCTCCAACCTGATGCGAGTGCTGGGGACAGAAGCCGTTCAGGACCCGACAAAAGTCGAAGCTCATGTCAGAGCACAGATGGCAAAGAGGCAGAAGTAGGTGGCACATCATGCCACTTTTGTTCTTCATTTTGGGGTGGATTTAATATTACTGCTGCGTCTATTATTGCTAGAGAGTGAAATCCCTGAGCTGACGCAGGAAAGCAGGAGTGCTGTTTTCTTTTATGTGTTGCTTTTGGAGCATATTTCAGAAGGGAGTTGGGTTCTAATGACCTCGTCAGCTCCTGCCACCTCCTAGGCAGCCACTGGAATGGCCTTATGACCTGTGTTAAATGAGTGACTTGTGACGATGATTGCTTGGCAAATTGCAGTGCTTACTAATGCACATTTTGTTGAAATGACCGGAGGAGACTGAATTTCCTGCCCGAGAACACTTAGTACAAACTAACAGAGGTCTGGTCACAAATGCAGCGAGCGGTGCCGCTCCTCGTGCGTTTGGCCCAGGCTCCATGTGTTCCCCCATTCATCTGTGCAAGGCTCTTGGGGTTAAAAAAAGCCCTAGAGCCTTCAGCTGAGGCAGGTGAAGGCAGAATGTGGGATGGAAATGAAGCTGCTTTAGGGTCAGTTAAACACATCCCATGTGTGAGGCCGGAAGGATCAATCGGGATGCTGCAATGGGCACACAGGAGGCTGCATTTCTACTTATTGCTGCGTCCTTCCCATGCAGAGCTCACGAAGAAGCAAACGCTGCAAGAAAACTAACAGCAGAACAACGAAAAGCCAAGAAAATTAAAAAGCTCAAAGAAGATATTTCCCAGGGAGTTCACATAGCTGTGTATAGGTGAGTGCTGAGCTGTGCGCTCTGACCAAATTGCTTTTCATATGCCTATTTCAGCTACACCAGACAAATGACAAATTTTATCTTGTCTTTAGGGTCAGAAACTTGAGCAATCCAGCAAAAAAATTCAAAATTGAGGCGAACGCTGGCCAGCTCTACTTAACAGGCGTGGTGGTTTTACACAAAGATGTCAACGTGGTCGTGGTAGAAGGAGGTAAGAGACAGGCTTTGGTCTGTTGAACCAAAAACCATTCAAAACTTCTTCTTTTTTTTTTTTTTTTTAAAAAAAAAGTACTGAAAGGAACTAGAACACATGTTGTATTGAAGGCTTGTGCATGTCAGGGATCAGTAGTGCTGGCCTTGCTTGGTCCATGCTTTCCTGGGCAACTGAGCGTGCTTTGAAAGGCTTAGTACTATTCGCAGGTGTCATTTTGCTGCTACTTCAAATCTGGAGTTTTTAGAAGGTTTTAAGAACTGTGTGAATGTGAATTTCCATCCCCTCCAGGTCCAAAAGCACAGAAGAAATTCAAACGTCTTATGCTCCATCGAATAAAATGGGATGAGCAAACATCAAACACAAAGGGAGAGGGTAAGCGTGAAACTATGCAGGGAGGGCGGTAGCAACAGATTAGCTTGTAATAACTTGAAGTTTTTTTTTTTTTCTCTCTCTAGAGTTTTGCAAAGTAGACTTAATTTTAAAATGCAGCTTCCTGTCATGTATCAAGAGCCACTGTAGTGCTGATATTCTGTTTTAATTTGCCAAAAAAACATCAGGGGGGCTGTGTGTGGCAGGAGGGGGAATGTTTTGCAACCTTTGGGGGTTTTGGGTGTAATGTAGGAAAGGATGGAGCCCTAGAAAGGGGGGTGTTTGAGGCTGGGGATCCTAACCCAGAGCAGCAGGTAACTGAAATGTCAGGGCTGGCACAGAGGTGGCAGTGGTACCTGCTGTCCCTAACTGCAGTTCCTCGCAGAGGAGCTGCGACTTGGGTGTCACTTAGCTTCCCCAGTTGCTATTTCACAGCCAGGGAGACGAGAACTTGCTTTATTTTTCAGATGACGACGAGTCTGATGAGGAAGCTGTTAAGAAAGCAAACAAATGCTCTCTGGTTTGGGAGGTGAGTAGCACTTCGAGTTAAGTGAGTTCTGGGAGCTGAGTCTGGACAGAAGCTAACCCTGTAACAGAGCAGTGGAGGCAGAAAGTAATTAATCCGAACCTTTGGGTCATACAAAATCTTAGTGGCTTTATTCTTTCTGCACACGTTGATTTAAGGATAGCAGATTGATGAGCACCTCCCCCTGCACAATGTAACTCAGACGTGCTGTGGCAGTCTGGCTAATCATTTGTTAAACAGTATTTTTCCTGGGGTTGCTGTGCACTTCCAGGTATTTTAGCCTAGGCTGCACCAAGGAACGGTCCCTTTTCTCTCTTCCAGGGCACAGCAAAGGATCGCAGCTTTGGCGAGATGAAATTTAAGCAGTGCCCCACTGAAAACATGGCACGGGAGCACTTTAAAAAGCACGCAGCAGAGCACTACTGGGACCTGGCTCTGAGCGAATCCGTGCTGGAATCCACAGACTGAGGGGGCCGCTGCCCCGGCATTTCTCGGCGTCTACGATACCTCGCGGGAACTCGGACGAGCCCCTTCCTCCCCTCCGCTCTCCACAGTACAAGGCATACGATTAAAGAAATATTTTTTAAAGCAAACCCCAGTTACACTTGTTTTCTGGCTGAATGCAGCTCGTGGAGCTTGCGGTACAAACCCGCTGGCCGCTAGCACTGCTTGTAGCTGTTTTGCTTTCTCTGGGAAGGATGCAGTTTTGGGGTAGGGGGAGAGAACCTGTTTCAGCCCTGTCTTTAGTCCTTCAGGAACCCAATCGCGCGGTCTCAGAGTGAGGTACGAGTGTCCTTGGCACCTGCGGACGCTGCTTTTGGGTTGAGCCCCACACGTTACAGGTAAGCAGTGGAATTTGTAAAGCAGAGTAGGAGACGGGGACTTAGCCCACATCCTATATTTACATAATAAACAGTTCTGTTTTTTTTTTTTAAAGGAAGTCCAGGCTCTGTTTCTTTACATCGTCCTCCTGGCCTGGGGGGGGTTCCCACAGTGGGATGGGGGGGCTCCGTCTTTTACAGCAAGGAGGGGACTGAGTTGTTAAAGGTGTGAGTTCTGCAGGGCTGGGGGGAGCTTTGGGAGGGTTTATTATTTTGTATTTTTAATGGTAAATAGGCGGTTCTGGAGAACCTCGCTGCTGCTTTTTGCCCTAAGCACTGAGGTATGTGGGTTTCAGTGCCCCTCTGCCTTCACGGGGGCAGGACCAGGTGGGTAACGGGGGCTCCCCGGGGTGGGGGTGGAGGAGAGG